GCGGGTTCGGACGCCTCGAAAGTAGATCCCAGTTACTCCTCGGCGCGTTTGCCTTGAAACGGGCATCTCCCCGCTCGCTGCTCTTTCGTTTGATTCAGAAAAATGGGAGTGAGACTAAAACCTCAACCCCCCTACTGAAAGAGCCGTAGTGGAACGAAACAAAAGCCCCTGAGACGGTATTTCGGTGTATGTCGCCCACTGGGGAGTTTTCACTCGGTGGCTGGGATGCGGCTGCTCTGGCGGAGGGGCCTCCACATTGTCTGCGGAGCGGAAGGGAAAGGTAATGTTGCCCGAGCGCTGATGCTGTTCAAGTGTGTGTTCATGCCGGTTCAGCTCTGGAGTGTCACGGCCTTAGTTCGTCTTCAGCTGAAGGCAGTATGTTGAAAGCAGTGATTGAGGCGGAAAGTGCATCACTTCCAGTTCTTGTAAACAATTTTTCTTAATACGTATTGTTTCCTTAACTTAATCTTCCAGATCTCAGCTTACAATAAATACAGCAATTGTTTACATGCACAGGTTTTATATGCATCATTCCTTCACAAAGTTTAATCGAAATGTAAGTATGACTTTGTAAGTGGTAACAATATGCCTGTAGTTTTGTCAGCCTGACAAGCGTTACGTTCCTCTGCTGGGTTGTGAAGTTAGGTCTGTTGATAAGAGTTCTGCCTTCTCATCAGCGCTTTAGAAGCAATAATGATGTTTCTTTTAAACTTTTGAATTATTTTAACTAGTGGCAATTAGATTTTATCTTCTGCCACGGAAATAAAAAGGTAGGCACCATCAGCAAACACGCTTCAGATGTGTGAAGAATGCAGTTAGATGTTTTGAATCTGGCTCGTGCTTATGTGCTGTAGTTTGAAAGGCTGATGTGTAGGAACACGCGTTTTTCTTCACGAAGTCAGTGGTAGTGCTAGCATGGTGTGGCTGACACTTGCAGTATGGTTATGTCTCTATCCATATGTATACAGTGCAAATTAATTTAACTAGTCTTCAGCAGCTTGATGATAAGTCATATTAGATGAGAAAAATCTTCAAATCTGATGAGAATATGCTGTTTCTCTTCTTTCAACTAATGCACTGAGTATGCTGAAACTGAATGCGGGATATGTTATGAAGAACCGAGTAATTCTGTAAAAATACTGTTGGGAAAACAATAGTATTCTAGGTATTTGGTACTGGTGGTGGCGTATCACTGATTGGTGAGGATGAGTTTTCTCAGATCTTGGCTTTTCAAGATAAACAGATGGAGACTGTGACAGATGTTAGGGCCTTGGGCAAAGCAGACCTTGATCTGTCTGGGGGTAGAATGGTGCAGGCCTTGCGCTGTCTGCAGTTTGGGCAGGTACATGGTGGGTTCCAGCATTAGGCAGCTCTTTTGTCCCGTGTGAATTTGTTTGTCATTGTTGGCTGAGCAAATGGACATCGCACTTGGTGTTTCTTTGGCAAGAAATACAGATTAGTTTTTGTAGGTACGCTTCGGAAGTGTATTTAATTGGTTTTGTGCAAAATCTAAGGTAGATTGAAACTTGCAGCAAGCTTGCTACCAAAACTGCTGTGTTATAGGTGTTTATGTAATAAAAGCTGAAGTGTTTAAGTACAACCTGAGTGAAATGTGCAAAAACCTGAAATGCTTTACTGGGAAAAATGTATAATCGCAGAATCCCAGAATGGTTTGGGTTGGAAGGGACCTTAAAGACCATCTAGTTCCAACCCCCCTGCCATGGGCAGGGACACCTTCCACTAGACCAGGTTTTATTATAACAATAATGTTTTATTTATGTAGTGATAGAGTGTTTTTTGAATGTCTACATATAAATCAAAATGTAGTTTCCTAAAACAATTTCCTAGTTTTAGAGCAAGAACAGCACAAATGAGAATCAAGTTCTGGCAAGTTCTGTGGTGGAATATGCCCTTTGAAAGTTTTTGTAGTTTGTCAAGTGGAGGCAATAAAACAGTAGTTTATCTTTCTCCCTCTGCACCTGCCCTGGTAGCGGTACCCTGTAGCCAGTGGAAGAGGAGCTGCTGAGGCATCCAAGGCTCTCTGTGGCTTGTGGATGATCAGCTAGGCAGAGCTGCTTGGAATGGAGAGGGGACTCTGAGTAGAGCTGCTGTAGCAGGGGCTTGTGTTACGTACACGGCCTGCCGGGTTACTGTTTATGCTGTCGTCTGGGGATCGAGGGTGGATTTAGGGAGGAAGAAGCTTTAGCTGCTGTGTTTGGGTATTCACCAGTCACTTGGAACTGGAAGCACAGTAGTATTGGGGTATATAGTGCCCTTGCTATGAAAACTACGCCTTAAGTTGTATCTATGAATCTTAAAATTCATCAGTAAGCTATGTAAGGGCTGAATGCCATGGAAACCACAACCCTTTCAGGAGGGGTCAAGTCAGTTGTTCAGTTAATTCTCAGGTGATATTCAAATAAAAGTTAAAGGCAAGCGTGCTGTAAGTTAGCGCACGGTGATATTGATTCCTGATCTGGTGCTTGATGAGTGTAAGGCCAGGCAGTGGCTTTGGGTGTGTGCTGATGGGCAAATGCGTTTTCCTACTTGGTTTCCTGTAGGGTGAAGGGGGTGGTCCCAAAGTGAACGTGAGCCACTTTTAAAATGCCATCAAACCATCTGGCAGGTTCTCTGTAGAGAAAGCCAAAGCTGAGGACTGTAAGAAATACTTAATATCAAATCTCCAGAGTACTTGGCAAGCTAAAAAATATAACAATAGTCATCCCCTGCAAGAAGAAGGTAACCCTTAGAAATTAAGTAGTAAGGTACTGGTAGTCTTGAAGCTAAGACCTAGCTAAGATTTTCTACAGTATCCAGAATGTATATCTCAGTATTTCGTTGTTGTGTGCATGTAGCGATGTTTGTCTGTGGCGAGAAGGAATCTGAAGGCTGGGACTAGCCAATTAGATGGCCATTAGTCACAATGCCTTATGATCTTCAGCTGGAAAAACATAGCCTGTGTTTTCTTGTTCTGTTGGTAGGTTAATGTTCTTAGTCAAGTAATAAACATATTTATCATCGTGTATAATTGCTGGGTTATACAAACACACATGTATGTCTTACATGTAAGTCAGGGTGTTAAGACAGGTCTTCTAGAAGAAGCTCGTTTACTAAATAGCTGTTGTCTCTTATTTTTTTAATCCAAAATAAGTTACTGCTAAACAATTTTGCAGGCTTTCAAGACTTTGAGTCAGCTGTGAAGAAGGAACAGAATTCCCAACGGTATCTTCAGTCTTTAGAGCTGCAGGGTTGGCACATACCAGTTAATGTAGTCTTGATTCATTTTGAAGATATTGCATTACTGCTCTAACAACCAAATATCCCTATTTTTGTGGTGTTACTGTGGGCTGGCAAGACACTTTTTAATTGCTATGGATTCTCTACAAAGTACGTATATTAGGGTGCAAAGAGGAATGTGCTGAGGTTTCGACGTTGCAATCAGAGCAGGTTAAGACCTTGCAAGGTTGCTGTGCCCCAGTAATAGGGTGGAAGCTTCCTTTACTAATTCTGGTAAGCAGAATTGGATGCCCTGACTACTAATTTTCCCTAGCCATGCAAATGACATTTCAGGAATCTCCTTGGCAGTAGTACAAATTATTCTTTCAATGATACTGTTGACCAGGGCATGGTAACTTTGGTTTGCTGAGTATTAAAGTTAGTGCTAATAATATTGGGGTGGGGAAGGAGCTTGCTGGCTTTTTATAGGAAATACTAGCCTGACTGCTACACTTCAAAATATCTTGCAAATTAAAATTGTTCTGGAAATACAGTTTCTGTAGTGCTTGGTGTGTTTGATATTATTGTCCAGCAAATACCTCTTCTAGAGGCTTATTTTTCAGTACACTGTGATTTGAAGAACAGAGAAGGGGGAAAAATCCTTGGTATGCTGGAAATAAGAGGTAAGGCATCCAAATGGTAGCTGTATTTTTAAATATAATCCTTAGAAATGCCATGTGGAGTACCAAACAACCAGCTGAAAATACACTTGATGATGTCAAGGGTTTGGGTTTTTTTTGTGTGTGTGACATGCAGTGGAATTTGGTATTAATTGCCAAAAAAAGGCTGCGGGAGGATTTTTTTTCCCCCTGAAGTGCAAGGTAGGTGCATTGTGTGAGGAGTTTTATTTGTTTCCCATCCCTCTGTGTTCCCTTCCTGTCTCTTGTGCCCTGTCCAGATTGCACGAGTAAGCAGTTGGATTTGCAGGCATACAGAGTTCTTGAAACTTCTGTCATATGCACCAAGCTTGGGCAAGGCTGTTGTCAGCACTGCAGTTCTGGCTTTCATCTTGCAGTTTAACGTGTTTGCTGGTTTTATGTCATGTGAGCTCCTGGTTATAATAAAAAAAAGTTTAAAGAACCCAAAACTTGCAACTCTTGTGTTTGCACTTAAAAAAACCTGTCATAGACTGGAACCACTTAATGTCTTAAACTAATTTGTATAGAGCCTACAAATATGCAAATACTGGCATTAAAAGGGAGAGGGAGGTCTCAAAACTCTGTGCGTGCTGCAGATGTATGGAGGTTATTCTGAATGCCTTTACTGTAGCAACGCTGTTATTACCAAGTCTTGTACTTTTTAAGTGAAAAAGGGCTTGTACAACACTTACCAATAAAACTGGCTGTGTAATGCTCTTAGACTGTCACAATATGGCTCTTATGTTTTGGGTTTTCTGTTTCAGTGGGACTTGGTTTCTGAGATTCACAGCTAGTACAGAAACGGGATTTAATTTCATAAATCATGTTCTTCTGAAGATATTTTTCAAAGTCTTAAGTGGTTTGGGTGCATGGTAGATAACTTTAAATTGTGTTTTTATGCAAATGAAGATGTTCGTAGATAGGAAGCTTACAGCTTCATCAAGTCTGTGTCTTTAATTTTGCTTTTCTGTTCTACTTTGCTTTTTCTGCCATTTTTGGGAGTTGGAAATGAATGAAAGCGCTTTTGCCAGTAATGCACATAGCAGGGTGTGCCATCTTCGCTGAAGGCTGTATGCATGCCAAGTCTGAAATTCTATGGGAATGTCTATTTTCCGGAATAAATACCACGGGAGACAAAACCACTGCCCCACTCTAAACTGGGAATGAGAGCCCCAGTCCTAGACAAGACAAAGACCTGAATTGCTTGGGCCAGAAGCCAGTACTGTGGGTTTTTCTTTTAAGGGAATAGATATTTGGGGTATACATACGTTTCTGATGAACCCAAGTTAAATGCCAGTTAGTCAGTTTGACGTAAATCAGCCTCCAGAACTGTGTTTTATGTAAGGTCTTGGAGATCAGGAATTGTGTGGAGACTTGGGCAGAACTGATGTGTTTCAGTGAATTAGAAGATTGCCTGAAGTCAGCCTGATGCGGAACAGGCTTTTTCTGAAGGGAGTAAACTTCAGTGCAGTCAGACACAGAATAATAGTGAGTGAGCATTTAATTGGTGACTTGTTCAAAGCATGTCGCCATGAAATGTAAATTCTTTCAGTCGTGGAAGTTGCTAAGGAAGTTGATTTTTCGGAACGGTAAATTGTTGAAATTCCGTCTCTGCGTAACTGTACCCACAAACTGTGTAGAAAGAGACCTTGTGTTAGGATGTGTTTGAATTAAGCCTGCACAGAAAGCAAGAAAAACTGTAAGGTCTGAAGGCAGGTACTGGGGGGTAAGTGTGATGCTTGGTGGGGTTGGTGAGGCAGGAGAGAGGGGGAGAACAGTGGGGAGCAGCAGCTCGCTCCTCGCGGTGCAGTTGCTTTTCTTCGGCGCAGCAGCAGGGCACTGCTGCAGGTTACTGACTGGGTATCTGCTTGGTTTAAATGAAAAATAAAGAAGGGAAACGGTGTGATCTTGGGGGGGTGGAAAGGCTCTCTAGTTTTATTTTTTTAAAACTGCCCATCATCCAGGTTATTTCTGATTCTGTACGCTTCATGACTTGCCTTCCTCAGTGACTTCACTATGTTGAGTCGTTTTCAGTCCCTGATGGTCAACCTCATGGTATCCTTTTCCCCCAGTGTTAAAAAAAAAAAACACCAAACACACCCAGTTGTGGTCTCTCTGGTGCCCTCATTAATACCTACTCACTCCTGCCCAATGGCTTGTTGTCAAACTTGTTTCTTCGGAACTCTGATTCTTAAGCCTTCCCAATTTCCTTTCTTCTGTTGTTCGTGTTTCTCTGGCTTCCCAGCCCTCTCTGCTGATGTGGCTTTTCCCAGCAGCTCAGGATTGCCGGAGAACATAATCCTTCCTCTTAGGCTGGCCCTGGTGTAGAAGGTGCTATCCTCAGGCACCTTCCTGGCTCATGCTGGCCCCTACCCCTGAAGCAGACTGTACGCTGGACAACTGCGAACGAGAGGTTTGCCTTCGTTCTCGCGTGACCGGGCAGGAGCACAGTTTGTCTGCTCTGAGAAATCCCTTCGTATGGCATGTGTGTGCGGGGTTATACGTGTGAGTGCTGCTGCACATCTCTGGCACTTAGAAGCTGTTGATACTCCGGCTTTCCAAAGGTCTTTCCATCACATTTAGTGTTTAAAAGTTTTTATATCCCAGCTCAAGCGAGACATATTTCAAGTAGTATGTGCTTAGCAAAGGGACCTTCTTAGGGAATTTCAAATCAGGTGGATAAGAACTTGTCTAAAACCATCGCAAGTCTTAAATGACAGTGTTAATATGGCCTTGTTCAGCAGCATCTGGCTCCAGCTGATTATTTCTTTCAATTGTAAGGTTTAAGTTACAAGCCGCTTAGAAGGCAAGTGGTTCTTTTGTCTTTGTTGTGGGAGAATTTGCTCCCTTTGAGGTACTTCGGGGCTTTTTTGGAATACTGGATTTCTTCACGGCACATTTCTGTGCATCAAAGGGTATCGCTTTCCCAGGGTTTCAGTTTTCCTCAAGTCTGCCAACTTCCAAGTTTTACTTAAGATCCAAGTGGATGTTTCAGAGTGATTTAAGGAGGCAAAAAGTACTCCCTCGATACATTGGAAAGCTCCTGAAGTGTAATGGGTGATCAGTGTTCGATTCTAATTAGGTGGTTGTGATTTTTACGGTATGGGGTGTTTTCATACCATGTGTTTTATTTTGGTAGAACAAAGGGCTACATGCTAACCAAAAAACTTCCTGGGGAGCTATGGCTGCCATTCAGTTCACTCCATCTATTTCTACTTGGGCGTTGGACAAGAAATCCAATACCCGCACTGCTTGCACCATGCACTAGTGAAACAACCAGCCAGCAGCGCTCTGTCTCTGAATAAATGCTTTATGCTGGGTTAATTTTAATCAGTTTAATCTGCTGATGTCTACGTGAAGGTTTCTGCTGCCATTTTAATTCATGTTTGATGTGACCTGCACTGTGTGCAAAGAGGACCCTGGTTCTTCCAAGTCATTTAGGGTTAGCTCTGCTCTGTGTCCAGGTACATCAGGCGTTCTACCTGATAATTAAGCATCGAAACTCTACGTCACAGTTAGTCACAACTAACTCCTAGGTGGTACTGAACCGCAGTTGGTTGCTTTGGCTGCAATTCAACTTCTTAAATGTCAGCTCATGACACCTAGAGCTTCTTTAAAATTTTCATCTTTAAACTTAATTTGTAGTCTTCCCTAACGTTTGATGTAACAGCTCTGTTGTGAATCCTTGTGAATCCTTTGTTCACCAGCTACTGCTGGGTATATGGTAAAGTTTCTAAGAGTAAGCTTTTACTTGCACAACCTATGCTTGCATAACAAGCTGCTTTCCTTAAAGTTCTCTGCAAAGTTTCTTGCTTTTTAGGAAAATCAAATGCCAGCAGAACTTGTGATCAGCTGGTTCAACTTTTGCTGAAAAGATGGTGTCATGGCTCACTGCTGTGCAAGAAATTGGATCAACTTTCTCATGAGTACATTTAACTTGAAACAGCCTGTTCTGCCCTGACTGAATCTTCTGGACCAAATCTATTCTTTCTCTGTTGAACTAGAATTAGTTTGACCTCGGACATCATACTCACAAATGCATTTGTTACTACTTCCCTATCCTGCTGGGAGGATCACATCAGTTATAAATTAAAACATGACTAGTTATTTTTGTTGTTTTGCATGATTTCAGAACAGTTTAAAAAAAAAAATTCAACTTCTTAAACATTTTCTAACTACCAGTTTAGACTCCATAAACACGGAAGTCCTGCTTGTAAAACAAAAAAATGTGTCTGTTTCTTCTTCAGATAATATCTCCGACGGCATTGTTTTTGGCTGCAAAAGTGGAAGAACAGCCACGGAAACTCGAACATGTTATTAAAGTAGCGCATGCCTGTCTTCATCCTCAAGAGCCACAGCTGGATACAAAGAGTGATGTAGGTGGAAGTCATGGTTTGAAAGATAATGAGATGACACTTCATCTCATGCTCTCTTAGGTTGCCTTGACCGCATTATTGCTGTCTGCAAACTAGAAAAACCTTTGATTTTACACCATTCAAGTCTATTGTCTTATTTAATGTAACATATGAAAGACTCCAATATTTGTGTGATGAAACTTGAAGAGATTGTTCTAGCTGGAGCTTGCATTACTTTTAAGAATTGTACATGTGTAGTAGGAGATGAGACTAGACGTGACGTAAGAGGTTTTACGTGTGGTTCCGTAAGGCACGCTGTTTGCACAGGGGGGTGTTCAGGGTGCTCGGTGTGTGTTTTCCTCGACCAGAGGCCCAGTGCACACAGTTGTCTATGTTCTGTTTTAAAGTCCACTTACATTGCAGTTCTCAGTTTCTTTCCTGAGATGAGTCTTCCTGGAACCACACACAGGAGGAAGTAGGGTGGAACTGCTTGAAGGTCAGGCTGAGCTAGTTACATCCTGCTGGACCTCAGCTGACGTATAAAGCTGTTTGAGCACCTTTACTCTGCTCCCAGCTCTTGGAATGACACTTGGAGAGATATAGATAGATAGATCTGTGCATTTGAGCTTAAGCTAGCTTAGCACAGGCCAGCTGGGTATCTCCAGCTGTATCTTAAAGTACTTGTAAAATGGATTACCTGCCTGGAGATACTGAGTTGATTTGCATGGGCAAGCCTTTGTAATTCTTAGAGCATCCCACTCTCTTCTCCCAAAAATGCTCTGCTAGAACAGATTAGATGAAATCAGAATAGGTAAATCTTACCATGAAAGATGGTTAGGCCGGTGTAACTGAATTTGCAGTAATGCTCATACTGGTAGGAGAAAGTAGCACCGAGTTGTCAGTGCTCACTGGCCTGGGCCGCGGTCTTAGCTTGCTGCTGATACCAGTATTCAGAGAGGAAGCCTGTGCTGAAATTTCAGAGATGCCAGGTAGCTGCGTCTTGACCTGTTTGCTTCTTCGTTTCAGGCATACCTTCAGCAAGCCCAAGAGCTGGTTATACTTGAAACAATAATGCTTCAAACTTTAGGTATGTTTTTCTGAGTATCTCCTGTGCAGCCAACTTTCCATGAAGAGGTAATGGGACCCAAGTAACTGGGTTTTTGATGTGCCGTTGGTACACGAGAATTTTACTGAGTTTGTACACAACTTCTGCCCTGTGAATTTAGTTTCCTATTAGCAGTTCTGTTGCGTTCAGTTTGGAGGAAAGCTTTATACCAACTGCTCTTCGCCGTTTTGCCTTTCAGTAGAAGCACGTTCTGTATCTGAGCAGGGTTGGTTCCTCTGAGCGTCACAAGTGGTAGTGTGACCGTGCAGTGGATTCGGGTAATTCCAAAATTTCAACTGGAATGATCTGATAATAAACTCCCTTGACTTTAAAGTCATGTAGAGACTGTTACAGCTAGCAGGCCTGAGAGCACTTACTCAGAGTTTCTTAAGTACCGCTTTGAGTATGTTGTTTAAAAAAAGAAAAAGCTAACAGTATTGACCTAGTTCTTAAAATAGCTCCATAAACAGAGGAAGGTTTCTTAAGTCACAGACCTACAAATTGACTTGATTTGTGATTCCGTGGGTGCAACATGTTTTAAGTCCCAGAAATAATTAATCAGGTGCATGTGCACGTGTATTTCAGTGTCGATAATATAGCTTTTACTGACTGACCAATGTCCTAGAAACTGTTCAGGTATGTTCAACTTTAAAAAACTTGGGAATTTACTGTACTTTTATATACAAGACTTGAGATGACTGCAGGAATGTCTTACTAATTGATCTTGAAGTGGCTGTATCATCTCCTATTCAAAAGTATGAAAAGGTGTGGAATAAAAGGCAGTTAAATAGTGCTACTTGATCTCCAGTGCAGAGGTTTCGCAAGTGGTTTAGGGCTGTTTGCCTTTTTTTTTTTTTTTTTTACAGATGCAAATGTATAATTCTAAAATTCTGATCTCTCCAGGTTTTGAGATTACCATTGAACATCCACACACAGATGTTGTGAAATGTACGCAGTTAGTGAGAGGTCAGTGACTTTTAACCGCTTCTGTAAGTCCTTTTCTACCTTCCTAGTAAAATTTGAAGGTAATGTTTTTTGTCTAGTACGACCTTCACCTGTGTTATCCAAAGAGTTTGTTTAAAGCTAATTACTGAAAGCTTGATCTTAACCTTTAGAGTTTGTTAAAGTGTCCAGTTCTCTGTCCTTCATAACTTTTTTGCTTTCTTCTAGCTTTGATTTTAATGATGTCTGTTCCATGTTCACTCAAATGACAGAAGCAGTTAGTAGTTGAAAACTGAATAGCTGACTACTTCGCATTGTTCTGGGTTGCTTATTTTCTCTCTGAAGTGGTTGTACCAGGTGAAGTTTAGTCTGCATGCTGGTCGGTGGCTAACGCCAGCTTTCTGTCTTAGCAAATCCTTAGAGGTGATGAACTGAGGGATAAAGGGACGGCATAGCGGGTCTGCTAGCACGTGCAACTACTCCAAGATGTGACCAGTTGTTTCTCTGGAGCAGGGGTACTTGTTTTGGATGGATGGTAGCACAACACCCCAAACCTTTTGTTAATCAGCCTTATCCTCCAACTCGGACGCAGCTCATTAAAGTGACTCTGGCTAGAAACCTGGTTTCTTCTTCAGTATTTCTTGTTGAATTTGGGCAGACCTTTCATTCTTACGTTGGTTTCCTTGGGAGCTTTAAAAAGAGAAAAAACATCCTCTCGTAAGGTGGATGATGAAAAAAAATGAGGAGTCAGTTGTAAAAGCACCTAAAATAAGCTTTTCACTTTAATTATGTTCCTTAATTAAAAAATGCTTGGAAGGGACTAGACCATGGTTGTTAGTCTTCAGTCATGAGCTGGTTTTGCAGTGAAAACTGCAGAAGTTAAGTGGCTTCACTTCACCCCCCCCATAAAGGCAAGTTAGGTGCACCTTAATCATGTTAACTAGCTCTGTTTTGTAGTAGCTCTCAAACTGAAGTTGTTCTTTAAAGGAATAGTCTCTCTTTCCAAAAAAAGCTCAGTTTGATCCTGAGTAGGCCTGGTGCTGTGACTTGTTGCATATAAAGTAGCTTTATTGCTGTTCTTGCTGTAAGAGAAGGATTCTTTGCTTGCTGTCCAGAGCTGGTCACGACTTGGTGCATAAGTCCATGTGCACCTGAAGTCTCTCTAGTCCGCAACAGCAGCTCGGTGGGGTTTGCGGTGGAGCTTCTTAGCGGTTTGTCAGCAGAAATGTGAGCACACATTTCAGTGGTTTGTGTGGGACCCTGCACTCCTGCTCGGTGTTCGGGGCGGCAGGCAGCCCTGTACCAGCATCAGCAAGGAGGTTTGACTTGAGCCTGCAGGAAGAAAGGCACACGGCTACGCACACCGCCGTTCGTTTAGTCAGGGGTAGATAGATACCACTCTGGGTCAGTTCAGCTTTTTCCTTTGTATGCTACTTTTGCGTTCTGACAGAATTCAGACGCTGAAGGTACATGCTAATTTTTAAATCTGACCTTTTACAGATCATATTTAATCAGCAGTTTAGCAAAGGACTTAGAATTCTAAAATTATACCAAGTCTTTACATCTGAAGACTCCAGTGAGGGCTGAAAAATCCACATACCTCCTGGAGTGGTGCAAAGTGAAAGTAGTACATCTGATGCTTGAAAACCTACTCCCTGGTGTAGGTGTACTCCCTAGTTAGGTGTGTATGCAAATTCTTGTCAGCAGTGCACCTCCTAGGGGTGGTATAGGCTGTGAACCCAAGGCTCGAGTACCTCATACTCAAAAAAACCAACAACTTCATCCATAAATTAAAAACGTTGAGCACAAATCTGTAGTCGTTCATGCAAGTCAAGCCAATGGAGAGTAATTGCCATGGAACTTAAGTTCTCTGTATGGAGTGGATAGAGATGGACTTGTAGGCACAGTGATAGGTCTTCAAAGATGTGGGGGTGTGATTTTTAGTTCTCTGTCTCTTAACGTTTATTTGTTGGACAGTGGTGTTTTCATGTGAACGGACACAATGCTTTGATACCACATCCTGAAGCTTTTGAAATAGCTGTAAGACTTGTCAGTGTTAAGCCTGTTGTGTTGAACAGGTTGATTGAGAAGTTAAGGCAATGCAAGGTTGCTTCATCCAGTAACTGGTCATCTTGGACAAAAAGCACTTACAGAAGGCAGAGATACCTTTTTTTAGTGAAGGTGCTGAACTCCTCCAAGACTGTTACAATTAAAACCTCCACCTGCATGTTTGAGGAGAGAAAGAAGGGTGGAATATAATGTGCCTGAGGATCAGAAGAGAGGCAGCAAGGTTAGCTGAGGTCCTCAGGTGTACCTACGGTTTTGGCTTTGGATGTGTGCACTGCCTTGTCGCGTGGTGACTGAACCTCGGTGGCGAAGAGGGTGGCTGATCCTCTGTTCCCTGGATGCCAGACAACAAAAAGTGATCGTGAGCTTTATGCTGTCACTGCTACCTGCATCGCTATGTAAGATACCACCCTTAAAAATCAAATGGGTGAAAAAAAAAGGTTCTGTTGAGGATGCTCAAAAGATTCAGCCAAGTCCTTTGTCAGAAGGCTGCCTAGTCACATGGTGGTGTGCCAGAGTCATTTGCCGGAAGCTGAAGATGAACTAGTAAGTGGGAATTGGTGCAAATAAACGTAATTGCTCCAATGTGCAACTCAAGTTGAATTCTTCCTCTCTGAGACTGCAAGCCTTCCTAAAGGTAGTGTTAGACAACAAGTCGCTGTAGAGAAGGGGTGACTGGATGGGTGCATAAGGACTCATGATGTCCAGGCAGAAGGTACCTAATTATTCCTTCTGGTTTTCATGAAATTGTTCCATCTTTACTGTTTGGTCAGTATAGCAGAAGAGGAAAATGGTGTGGGCTCAGTCTTTTTTCTGCACCATTCTTCCTCAGTGTCAAGAGACTGAGAAGAGGAGACAGGACCATCATTCCTTAGGATCCCACAGGTCCTCTAAGGAGTCTGAAAGCAGTGGATCTGTGAAGGCCTGTTAGCAAGCTTCAGTGCCCACTCCTGGATGCTCCAGTACTGAAGAGAGAAGAAAAGGAGGGAAAAACCCCAAACCAAACACTACCAAAACACCACAAACTGTTCTGGTGTCAAACTACCTTACTGGCTTGAGCGCTGGTGGAATGGTCAGTAGTGATGCTGTCCTAGTGCTGAGGTCACACAGGGCCCTCAAGCTCGGGTGCAAAACCAGCCTTTTCCAGCCTGCTTCTGGTGGAGCCTGAAGGGGTGGAATCTGCCCACATCTCCATCTTGGGAAGTCTTCAGTCATTCCTCTTTCTGTGTCGGTACATAACCTTTTGGAACTGAAGACTGGATCCCAAGGATCTCTAGGATTGCTCTCGCTCCTCTGCAGGTTACCAGGTATCCGGAACACCCGTGATCCTTACTGATGGAAACTGCACTGCCGAATTCCTCGAACGTACCATAGTGTCTGTGTGCACGGGTGCCGTTGGTTAAATCAGGCTGGTCAATTCATCTGAAGAGGAGAGGGAAATGAAGCTGCTTTTTCAGAGGGTGTTCTCTTGAGGAAAAGTGAAATCTTGGTGTGCTAAGTGGTGTGGAAATAGCTTAAGCACCAGCTGCCCTCCAGCACTGCGACAGGCAGCCGTCGCATTCTGAACTTCCACCTTGGGCTTTCCAGACGCAGCAGGCACCCACCACCACACTGCCGTTCAGAGCCTGTGGCTTTCGCCCCGTTGCCCAGGGGCGCTTCAGCAAGCTGCCTGCCCTATCCGCCGTCTCCTCTTTCCAGGGAATGCTTACCTGTGCTGTCAGCGTCCTGGGCATAGCCAGCTACCACCCTCTGAGGGGCGACTTGGCAGTCACAGTCTCACGATTATCTTGAGATCCAAGATAGCCTCGTCTTGAAGAAAAGACTCGGATATCTTGGAATTGCAACCAGGTGATTTGTGTGGCTCTGCCCAATGAAAAGCATTTTGGTTGCCAGGTGGGAATCCTTCGGGGACAGTAGCCTTTTGCGAGGTGTATCGGCCCGTCCTGTTTGAAAATCTTGATTGCTGCTTTAGTAACCCCCTGCCTTGGGGTTGCTTCCGCAGCAGTGCGGGTGCTGTAGATCGCTCCCGAGCCATCGAATGCCAAGTGACCGTGAACGGCGGGTGTCAGCCATCAGTCCCGCGAGTGGCACGTGACAGAGGAGCTCTGCTGGCTGGGTTTAGCCTCTGCTTCAGGAGAATGTTGCTGTGGAGACGCCCTTTGCACTGCGGTAAAGGAAGTAAATACAGGAACCAGAAGTCGCCAGCTTGAACCTCAGTGATGGATTCTGCTGAAGCTGAACCGAAACCCTCCTAGGTGTGAAAGGAGAGTGTGGGACGGGTGTTTTCAGTTGTGCCTTGTGTTACCACAGGCCGACCTGGTGAGCTGGAATTGCTGACTGCTTTTGGCAGTGATTATTTAGCGGTAAAGAAGTTGAAACAGTATCCTACTGCTTGTAGTATAGGCGAGGTGTGCAGCACGTTGACTTGTGATTGAGGCGAAAATGTCTGTTTCAGGATGTGATGGAGAGTGTGGGACGGGTGTTTTCAGTTGTGCCTTGTGTTACCACAGGCCGACCTGGTGAGCTGGAATTGCTGACTGCTTTTGGCAGTGATTATTTAGCGGTAAAGAAGTTGAAACAGTATCCTACTGCTTGTAGTATAGGCGAGGTGTGCAGCACGTTGACTTGTGATTGAGGCGAAAATGTCTGTTTCAGGATGTGATTCTTTTCTTCCAGGTATGTGTTCTGATTTACTCAACTTTCAAGCTGATGTTAAATAGAAGTTTTCTGGCATCTGCTTTTCTTCCCTGTTCAAAAGGGACATTTCAGTGAGAGTAGAGATGCTTCTTGGGCTGGTCCCTCAGTTCAAACACGCTGTAACTTTACAAAATACAGAATTCATTGAAGATCCTTTAAATGTTACTTTGAAACATGAAGAGCGAGACATCAATCTCAGTCTTCCTCAACCCTTAGGTGTTTTCATTTGGTTTGTTATGGCAGTCTCACTTTTTTGGTAATACTGCCTTACAGTTTTTGGGGGAGAGGAAAAGCTCGAACTCCATGGATATCTGGTGTGCAATTACCACTGCGGTGTGCAGACTAAATATTGTGTGTCACGTCGTCAATTTGCTTTCTGAGTGTTACGGACCGGTAGAGTCTGTGTGTGGGAGTGGATGCTGTCACCTTGCTGCTATCACGTTCTTTGAGATCGTGCCACTGCCCGGCTGTGTAGCGTAAAGACAAATCTGATTTGTACTCCTTGTCAATCATTAGAAGTCGAGTTAAATCACATATTTAATATGCTTTTTAGAATTAAATTTTAAAAGCCATTGCAGTCTTTCTCAAACTTTGTAGAAAGGTGATTATTAAAATAAGTTAACAATTTTCCCTTTGACATAAAACTCAACAATACACTTTCTGCAGGTAGCACTACTTTCAAGTGATAGTGTCAAAGTAAGAATTCAATGAAGCTGCATTCAATCTTCAGTTAAAGCCATTGTGCCCAGCTATTCCATTATATGCATGTTACAGTAAGTTCCCTTACTCCAGTGAGGAGCGTTGGGGTTTCCCTGGCAGGGGTCAGTGCGAGGTGGCTGCAGCGGCCCGTGTCGTCAGCCTTTCGTTGCTGGCGCGTTGCAGTCTGGGGGTGGGTGGCAGTCTGGGGGTGGGGGGAGGGTCCTGGCTGTAACTGCAGTGGAGTTTCTTCCTGTCGAAGCTTTGCCATAGGTTTAATGAACGTGGAACAGTTATGAGGACGGTGCTCTTAATTAGAGGGAGCAGACAACTCGTTTAATTTTTTTACTATCTAGCTTGGGAGCTTGCTGTGTCGGGGGGCTTTGGGAGAGGTGCGGCTGTGTTGGGGGAGGTGCTGGGGGGCGGGAGGGCTGTTCTCCGGCTGTTCTGCCCTGCTGCTCTCCGCCTCGCACTGTGTGG